ATCGGATAAAACCTAAACGATACCCATCCCTAATCATCATGTGCTGTTTCATGGCGTAAACACGTCACCCCATTAAGCAGTGGATTGTGCTCACGTGGGTCATGCAGCACAAAGTTATTTAAGTTGTGAAGGTGAAGGCAAATATGTCTGGAAGCGTTACAGACGAAGAGCAGCTACTTCCCTGTTTGGGAAATGATTTTGGATATCAACGAGCAGGTACAGAACAGAACACTGTACGACAGCCTTACCTCAGTCTGACTGTGCGCTATATTAACAGCAGCTGTGCGCCTCAAACCGTGAGACCAGCTACTTTCCCGAGGATCACACATTTTAGATTCTGTAGTGGATTTTATTTTGTAGGAGCCGGTGGTTCGGGCCTCTGATAAGGATGCCTCCTGGGCCAGTTATTCCGGGCAGGTCCCACAGGGAGGAGGCCCCGGGGCAGACCCAGGGCACGCTGGAGAGATGGCCTGGGAACGCCGTGGTGTTCCCCCGGACAAGCTGGAGGAGGTGGCTGGAGAGAGGGAGGTCTGAGCTTCTCTGCTTAGGCTGCTGCCCCCGTGACCCGGCGCGGATAAGCAGAAGAAGATGGATGGATTTTATTTTGTAATACTATTTATGTTTTATGCTGACTTTTTCAATTCAAAGAACAGAGGGAGGATTTTTATTTTTATACTTGAATACACTGCTGAATAAACTATTCCACTAAAAGTTACATGTGCAATATATAAAGTTTTTATCAAATATTTCAAGGCAGCTTGTTGTGTTTATGCTGTCGAATTAATAACACCCATATCAGCAAATGTATTGTGAGAATCCTCTGAAATATCGTGATGTTGTGTTTGGCACACATCCCTGTCGCTAGCTGCTCGTTCTAAACTCCCGAGAGGCAGAAGCTGCAGCTCAGAGGTGCGGTGAAAGCTGCTCTGTTGATCACCTCCTCTTGTCCAAGGCCTTGGATGGATCTGCGTGTTTGATTTGGCACAGATTTTACTCTGCGTGCCCTTCCTCACACAGCTCTCTTGTTTATCTGGGTTTGTGTTTCCTCACAGTCTCAAACTGGGGATCTTGTGCATGTTAGAGGGGAAAACTATCCTCGGAGGCTAAAGTGTTTTTCCTGTCTTGTTTTAGTTGTTTTGCCCTAATGCTTTTTAATGCATTTTAACACTGTGGAGACCCACTCTCTCTAGGAGCCACTCTTGAGTGGCATTAAAGGAACTGCGGTGTGTTCTGTGTCTGCGACGGCTCATGTTTGAGCTCTAGAGATTTCCCCTTGGTAATAGCACGGTGGCTGCCTCCAACCTTTAGATACAGTCTGTGGTTCATCCTAGTGTGCAAACCAATATTAAGACAATAGACAGTTCTTCAGTTAAAGACGTGAATGCTGGAGGAGGAAGAGCTGGAAGGAAAGGTTTGACTTCTTTGCAAAGGGTAAATATGTCTGCAGTTAGGGCTGGGCCATATCATACTGTTCACGGTAACACCGGTATAATGTTGGGCAACGATAAGAAAATGAAACATGGCGATAGAATATGGGTAAAACGCGCATGCGCCGTGCCTTTGTTT